ACCCGCAACGAACGAATCTACCAGAGTTTTCCGCAGAATGCCCACATTGTTCATACTGACCTTGAGAGGGCCTTGAGCCTTAGGGTTCAGGGTTCCGGTTTTAGGGCTTGCGCGGTATATTTTGTAGGAGCTCTTGCTTGGGGCGGGCCTCCACCACCTGCAAGCGCAGGCACCCCCTCCCGGCTCACCGCACTATCGGGCCTCAACCTGAGTCGCCGTCCTGCTTTGGGAGTCCGGGGGCTTCTTACCAGTTTCTGGCTCCATGCTCTCGAGATCCCCTCACCCAGCCGTTTGGAACCCCCGAGAAAAATAGATACATAGGAAACATGCATGTACATATATATATATACACACATACTTCTTTCTACCCCCTTCTCAGACCTCGGTGAAGTTAGTACGCGGAGAGCCCAGCGCCCCATACAAAAGGAAGCTCATACGTTATATCCAACCAGGATCCCGACATGGTCAAGTCTTTAAGATCTGGTCCCTGTTTGGGGTTACGATTCTAAATGCTTAGGGTACTCCAACAAGGGACCATAATGTAAGGAACAGACCACATGAATTCTTAAGGTATAGCTCTACTACTCAATAAAGGGGCTAGTTGGCTTTTTTGGGGTAAGGGGGTAACCCCCCAAACCCCGATCCCCTCGGTAAATTTGTAAAGAGAGAAAGGCGGGACTTGATGAGAAGCTGGCTGCGCGCAAGGGTTCCGAAACCTTTTTTGGCTGGGGGGGGTGTAGGTTAGGGGAGCCCATTTTTGTTGGCTGTGTTTTGTTATAATGTAAGCTCCCGAAACGCAACGGGAAGGTGATGGCTCCGCCACGTGCAGAACCTCTGCCTCAGACGGAGCGCCGGCGCTAAATGGTCTTTTTCCACACCATCAGCCCTAACACCGCTCTACCCTAAACAATTAATTCCAACCCTAAACCCTAAACCCTAAACCCTAAACTCGGACCCCAACCCCTGTACCCTGAACCCGTTGCCATACACCTCTAAATCCCCAAAAGCCCCCCGACGATGCTCAACTCGACTGGGCTTGCGCGTGGGACTGCGGCTTTTGGGGGGCAAGGCTTCGGATTCAGGTTTATAAGGTTTAGGCTTCAGGGTTTAGGGCTTTAGGAATAACAGACTTAAAAATCAGGGGGATCAGGGTAATTTCAGGGTTCTGGGTTTACATATATAAGTCCCTATAGGCTGAAGCCTGGGTCTATCAGAAGCCCATGGGCCCGAGCCCCAAAACCTGGTCTTGCATGGCCGAACCCCAAACCTCAAACCCTAAACCCTCAACCCTTTGGGCCGCCTGCAAGCTTTAGGGTTTAGGGTTTAGGGTTTAGGGTTTAGGGTTTAGGGTTTAGGGTTTAGGGTTTGCCTTAGAAGTTAGAAGGCTTTGGGGCTTTTGAAAAGGCCCTAAGCCCAAGTGCGTGGAAGCCAGAAGGAGTAGACCTGACTGTGAGGAGCCCTTTCCACCCCTGGAGGAGGATGCCGGGCCGGGGGCCCCCTTCTTTGAGAGGGTGTAGGGTTTAGGGTTTGGTGTTTCGGGTTTAGGGTTGAGGGGATTTATGAGCTTGTGGCCCTAAACCTTATGCCTTGGACCCTCAGCTTACCCATGGTTGTTGATCTTGAAGGTGCTTGACCCTTTTTTTGAAGGGGTGGTGTGGACTTTCGAGTACTGTGGGTTGAGGATGGAGTTTTGGGCCTTGTGCTTTGAGTTACGCCCCCCATATAAATGCCCGCAGAAAGAAAAGCCTTTTGTGTCCGGACCCCGATCCCCCCGATCCCTCGGAGTGTTTGTCCCAAAGAAGCCTCGTCTAGTGCAACCGAAGCCGCGTACTTTGGCCACCAGAAATGCCTACGATGCGGGCAGTGGGCTAAGGCGTCTACAGTGCGGCTATAGTGGGTCCAGGTAAGCCCTTAAAGTTCTACATCCTTGACACAGCAGCCTTGAACCCTAGACCCCCTGCCCTAAACCCTAAACCCTAAACCCTAAACCCTAAACCCTAAACCCTAAACCCTAAACCCTAAACCCTGACCCAGGTCGCCTCCAGAAATGGATCGAGAGCTAGCCGGAAGGCTCAGGTTCTCCATCTTTTCGGGTTGAGGGTCTTGAGTCGAGGGTACCCCAAACCCTCAAACCCTACAACCCTAAACCCTTAAACCCTAAGACCCTAAAGCCCTAAAGCCCTAAAGCCCTAAAACCCTAAAACCCTAAAACCCTAAACCCTAAGCCCTAAAACTCTAAACCCTAAAACCCCGAACCCAAAGCCCTAAACCCTAACTAAACCCTAAAGAATGTTAGAGGCGTTTAGCTTTCGTGTTCAGGAGGGCTTGATTCGCGCAGGGTTGGGGCTTCAGAGGCGCTTCGGGAGACCGACACTCTGTCCAGGGTCTAGGGTTTAGGGTTTAGGGTTTAAAGTTTTAGGGTTTAGGGTTTAGGGTTTGTGGCGACGAGAGGTTCAGGGGTTTGCGGTAGATCATGGGTGTCTCTGCTACTCCCCCTAGGTTCCCCCCTTAAATCACCTAAGTGAGGCTTCATTATCGTTACATAGCCCTAGTTATGAGGCGGTAGTAGGGGAACCCATGAGTTGATCCCCCACCTCTGAGGGATAAACCCTGCTCCGGAAAGAACGCCTGGTTCCGTACACTTTCCCTGCCAGGGACATGCGCAATTGCCTACTACAAGGTTTAGGGCTTAGGGCTTCTACATCCCCAAATGCCCTGGAAGCCCAGCCTCTGCTCACAAAGCCCGAAAGAGCCAACCCATCACCTCCATCCAGCCCCCAAAATCCCCCTATTGTGATGTTCCCCCAAAGACTATCAATCCTTAATCGGGATTAGACTAGGGGGAGGGATACTGGAATTCCTAGGAAGGACTGTTAGTAAAAGGGTGGAACATCCCAAGCCCCCTTGGGCTTGCACTGCTGAAGAGCCCTTAGAGGATACTATATCCCCCTTGGGTTTTTTTTGTATTTTTGTTTATATAAAACACAAGAGGATACCAACAATATCATGTCCATTAAGGTTCTAAGGGGGGGTATAGGACATCCCCCCTAAGCCACTGTATTCGAAGTTTTGCCGCGAACTTCCAAGGCTGAACTGGAGCCCCTGGGACCCGAGCCGATTCAGACAGGAGCCAGTGGGGCACACCGCCCTAAACCGCAATTGTTTGGCTGTTTAGGCTTTATGCTTGGGATGTTCCCCTTTATATGCTAACAGTCCTTAGTCGGGAGTATATATAATCGGGGGTACTGTAATCCCCATGAAGGATTGTTAGTACAAAGGGGAACATCCCAAGTTCAGGCTTTCTAGATAGATGTCTCATGCGTTGTATGCAAGGGGGCACGGAGTGAGCCTGTGGTGATACGTTATACACGACATATACTGTATACTACATACCTCGAGAACGATTTTCTCAGTTTGGGGTGTTTCGGGGCTTTGGGTTTGGGTTGGGCTCTATGTAGGTCCTGCGATCTTAGTGTTTTGTTGCAGGGTACCCTGGAATCGCTTGCGTGGAGAAGCCTCCAAGCTTTGTGGGGGCCTTCTCAGCGACGATTGCGCCGACAATCAGTTCCGGAAACCACGAATCCAAAGATGCATTCAATCAGCACCCTGATGTCTAGGCCAAATTTAGGTGCTCGGTTGCTCTCTCACAAGGCTGATACATATGTATGTATCCCCTTTCTACAGATGCATGACTTGAATACCCTTTGGGGTTTAACGTGCAGGGTTGGGGCTGAGAGTTAGCTCGACTAAACCCTGAATCCTCCAGGGCGTTCCGGCAGCCCAAACACCAACCTAAGCCCTGCACCGAATAAACCCCTAACCCCAAACCCTAAACCCCAAACCCTAAACCCCAAACCCTAAACCCCAAACCCTAAACCCTAAACCCTGAACCCGAAGCCCCAAACCCCAAACCCTAAACCCACACCCTAGACCTTAACCCATCCGAACCCCGAAGTACAGCCCCCCAACATGCCAAAAGAAATGTCGCCCAGTAGGGTTTAGGGGTCCGGTTTCGGGTTTGGGGCTTAGGGTTTGGGGTATAGGTTTTGGGGAATAGGGTTTGAGGTTTAGGGTTTAGCGTTCGGGGTTGAGGGTTAAGGGCGCTTTGGGGCTGGGGGCTTAGGGTTTGGAGCTTGGCTTCAGGGTTTAGGGCCTAGGATTCAGGGTTTTGTGGTGAGAGGAGACTCTTGTAAGGTGCCCATAACCCTAAACCCTAAACCCTAAACCCTAAACCCTAAAACCCTAAACCCTAAACCCTAAACCCCTTAAGCCTTAAACTCCCGTCCTGAACCTTTGTGAGGGCCAGCCCCGTGGTTTCCCCGCAGGCGACTCGACGTCCCGCATTCCGGTAAAGGCGCGGATGCATTGAGGATTTGGGTTCAGGGTTTAGGGTTTAGGGTTTAGGGTTTAGGGTTTAGGGTTTAGGGTTTAGGGTTTAGGACTGAGGGTTTATCATGTTGTCTAGGGTTTATCATGTGCGTACCTTGTTTGGGACAGCTCTGGGTGTGGGATCGAGAGGCATTTTGTTGAGGCCTACATCGGGATGCATCACATCAGATACATCTTAGGATGTCTAAGGCTGCATGTAACCTTGGCCACAACAAAAGGCTGCAGCTGTATAAGGGGAGGCCCGGGCCAAGAGTTTCAGGGGATGTGTCAGTTGGAAGCTCCTACCTCTGCCTATGCTTCAGATCAAAGCACTTCGCTGCTTGACATAGAAAACGAACTCATAAAACTGAGTAGCTGAACGGGTCCACTGTACATTTTTCTTGGGACAAGATAACCCCCTGAAGAACTGAAGGTGTACACTTTTTTTGGACTTTATGACCTCAGCAACGAAGTAAACGATCATTCCACTGAGCCTTTCTAAGAGGCCCGAAGGTGGTGCCGACTCTCGAGAACCAAATGTGTTAAAAAATTGGGTGGCCATGGATGCCTCCTCCCTGAAGCAGCTGGTGGAACAGGGATGGAAGTACCACCACGCCACCTTCGACTTGTATATGTGGCTCGGTGGCACCTCCTGGTCCCCATCGGCCATCCAGCAGGTGATGCTCCCTGAGTTGGCCCGACTGGCCACCGCGGAGAGGGGCAGAGAAAGCGAGCTCCGCGTGCGCAAGGTCTCCGTGGACCTGGCGGGCACGCGACTTACGGATGAGGCCCTGACTACCTTCCTGGCTGGCTGGCCCTGTTTGGGTCTCAGCCACTGCTCCCTTGGTGCCTTTTTGCCACCTTTTTGTTTTTGTTTCTAGGCTCCCTTGTACCCTAAACCCTAACCCTAAACCCAAACCCCAAACCCTAAACCCTAAACCCTAAACCAAGGCTCCATCTGCTTCAAGTTGCAGCGAAACCTCCTCACGGACCAGTCGCTGTCCGTGCTGGGCCACTTCGCCGTGGCGGACTCCACCGGTGTGGTGGAGGAGCTGCACCTAGGTTGGCTTTTGGGATGTGTTGTGTTTTCCATCTTGCGTTTAGGGTTTAGGGTTTAGGGTTTAGGGTTTAGGGTTTAGGGTTTAGGGCTCAGGGTTTAGGGTTTGGCGTTTAGGGTTTAGGGGTCAGGGTTATAAAGGCCAACCCAGGCATGCCACGCATCAGCTGGGCCCTGGCCTCCGCCGGGAAGCGGTCCTGGGCTTCCTGGTGAAGCTGTCGTCCTGCCGGAAGCGCCTGGGGGTTTAGGGTTTAGGGTTTAGGGTTTAGGGTTTAGGGTTTAGGGTTTAGGGTTTAGGGTTTAGGGTTTAGGGTTCAGGGTTTAGGGTTTAGGGTTTAGGGTTTCGGGTTTCGGGTTTCGGGTTCAGGGTTTAGGGTTGCCGGAAGCCCTGGGGGTTTACGAAAAGAAGCGACCCTTAGAATAGCCCCCCCCCCCCCCCCCCAAATAGTAGAATTCCCTTATGAGAAGGACCCCCAGCAAGGTACCCCCTAATTTCGGAATATAGGGTCTATTTTGGGGGGGGGGGGTAAAAAGGGGTATACCCCTATTATGGGAAACCCCCACCTGGCTCCCCGATCATTGCACCTTCTGCCTGTGTTCGGGGCTGTGAATAACGAATAACATCCCCACATGTGTTTGCAGGGCCCCCCCGCTTCTATTTCATTGGCCTTTAGTACACAGCATGACCACATAAGGTACACATCTACACGGTGGGTTTGCCAGGTACCCCTTGTGGGTGAAGCGCCGGCGCTGCTTCCGCCCCGTGCACCTGCGCTTGGGCCAGTGTCTTGCTGTATATCTATATAATCCCCTAAAGGGTATATCATCCCTTAAAGGGTATGTATGTATATATACATACATATATAATCCCTTAAAGGGTATATGTAGGGTACCTCATTCCCCCCATTCCCTGCTGACCAACAGTAAGGTGTGGGGTGGAGGACCCAGAGGCCATTGCAGAGGAGCTCGAGAGCAGGACCGGGGCCAAAGTGCCCAGGTGTCGGCTTCGGATATGATAGGGTTTAGGGCTTTAGGGTTTCTAAGGCTTTTAAGGTTTTTAAGGTTTTTAAGGTTTTTAAGGTTTTTAAGGTTTTAGGGTTTAGGGTTAGGGTTAGGGTTTAGGGTTTAGATGTTGTAAGGTTTAGAGTCTCATGGTAGGCCCTGTGGACAGCTCACATCTTACCTTGCCGGGTTTAGGTGAGGCTTTTCTTCCGGAGTATGTTTTCCGAGGGTGTTTGTAGGCAAACCGAGGTCTGCTTCGCAGACGATCAGGGCTGCGTGCGGATGTCCTGCGTGAGTGCGCGGAGTGGGGGAGCCTGTCCAGTGGCGCACCTCTACGACTTCCGTAGCCAGGAGCAGCCGACGGAGCTGGCAGAGCCAAGTGAGCGCCTCACATCTGCGCGAGAGCGTGAGAGGGGCAAGACCTTCCTGTGGCTTGGGCAACATGAATGAACCCTAAAAGGGTTTAGGGTTCATGCACCCTATAGTAGGAATTATCGTACCGGGTATATGACCCCAACTTTAGGGTTCATTTGGTCCCCAAGTCAAGGTGTGGCTCTTGTCAGAAGGCCCTTCCCATCGACATGTTCACACGCTCACAGTTCCAGAAGGCGTCGGCCTTGGACGATGGCAGGGCAGAATCTGAGTCCCACTTGGTGCGAAGATGCAACGAGTGCGTGACCCAGCCCTGCTGCGCCTCTAGGTAGGCTCTTGGGGACATTTTGTATACTTTTCCCTTGTCATGGGTTTAAGAGGATCATATTCAGGAACCCTATAAACCCTAAACCCTATAAACCCTTAACCCTTTTTACCCCGAAACCCCATTTTTCAGAGGGTTTTACAAGGGGGCCGTCCGAGGCCTGCGGCGCCCTTCTTCCCCTCACGGCCTTCGCGAACAGCCAGATGCTGCGACCCCAGGGCAGTCGCCGGTGCCGAAGTTGCGCTGCCGAGACCTGGTGCCTTGGGGATGAAAGCCCTAAACCCTAAACCCTAAACCCTAAAAGGGTTTATGGTTCATATACTTTAATAAGAATTATAGTAGTATTGGGTATATGACCCCCAATTTTAGGGTTCATTTGGTCCTTAAGGTGGTGCGTCCGCTGCGCGCGCCCGAGGGCGCAGGCTGAGTTCTCTTCCTTCGAAGCCCGAAAAGGAAAGCGGATTGCCAAGGTGTGCAAAGACTGCAATAAAAGCAACACGTACTTCGATCGGCGGCACGCGCTCTGCGTCGCCTTCAGTGGCAAGTACGCAGCAGCGCCCTCTCGCTTGCCCAGCTTCTCCAGAGAAGTACTCTCCAATATTCTCGCCTTCGCCAAAGAATCGCAATTTGTGTCCATCTTCATGACGAGCTTCACCTGTAACTCGCTAGTTCTTAGTAAAACGGGATTTTCGCGGCTTCCTGCCTTCTATTCCCATATGCATTTCGGGGGCTTTTCAGGTGCCTATGACCCTCGAAACCCCAGATCTTAGGGAATCAGGTACGCTTTGCAACAAGACCTTCTCCTTCTTGGCCAACGGTGGTGACGGCGCCCCTGTGGAGAGACACCTGCGCACCTCCCAGCAGCATGCCAAGCGCCTGCGCAGCCTTGAGGCCGGGGAAAGGGTTTAGGGTTTAGGGTTTAGGGTTTAGGGTTCAGGGTTTAGGGTTTAGGGTTCAGGGTTTATAAGGTTTAGGGAATAGGGTTTAGGGTTTAGGGTTTATACGGTTTAGGGTTTAGACGGTTTAGGGTTTATACGGCTTAGGGTTTAGGCTGTAGGGTTTATACGGTTTAGGGTTTATACGATTTAGGGGTTTATACGGTTTAGGGTTTATACGGTTTAGGGTTTTGGGTTTCGGGTATACGGGTGATGTCCGGTAGGGTTTTGGGGGTTTGGGGCCAGGGTCCAGGGTTGCACAGGATCGAAAATCGCTTGAAGGGCCGCAGCTTAAGCAGCTGACTTTTTTAAGTACCTAGTAGTAGAGTAGGTAACCTTTAACCTTTTGGGGTAAAATAATCCCCTTATACTCCCGAAGGTTGACCTTTAATTTTCCCAGGTTACTGGACAGGTAAGAATGAAGTGTTTCAGCCGCTTGACGTGTCTAAAGTGTCTCAAGTGCAAATCGTTTTCCAAAGCACTTCGACACTTAGAACCCATACTTCAAAGTTTTGCATTTGCAGTTTAAGCATTTCAGACACTGTAAACACACTTTTAACTCTTCACTTGTTTAAAGTGTTGCAAGTGCTTACGGTGACTTGGAGGGCCGCAAAGTTTTTTGTTTTTCAAACTTTTAGTGTGCTCAAAGTGATTGAAACGTTTAGAGTTAAGCATTTAAAACTGCAAATCCTTTCCAACATACTTCACACACCGTAAATCCATGGAATTCAAACACCTAAAAAAAGCCTATAAACCCCATAAAAACCCTATATCAACCCGATAAAACCCTACATAAAAACCCTATGAAACCCTATACAAACCCTATAAAGACCGATATCAACCCTAATTGTAAGGCCCTCTAAAGCTCCCGAAGGCTGGAAAGCTGGTCGAGCTGTCAGCCACCGGTCTGGACCCCGAGCGCTTCGCGCACTTGGGGCTCTCCGGGGCCTTCTGCAGCTCCGAGCAGGTCAAGGAAGCGCCCTGTTTTGGAGGGGTTTAGGGTTTAGGGTTTAGGGTTTAGGGTTTAGGGTTTAGGGTTTAGGGTTTAGGGTTTAGGGGGTTAGGGGGTTAGGGTTTAGGGTTTAGGGTTTAGGGTTAGGGGTTTTAGGGGTTTTATGGGTTTTATGGGGTTTTAGGGCTTTAGGCTTTAGGGGGATCTGAAGTTGGGGCTGGCGATGTTGAATGAGGGCTTATGTTCTTGAAAGGCTGTAATTAGGGTTTCTGGGGCAGCTTTTCTGGGATTCCTTCCGAAACTCCACGGCTTCGAAGCAAGACCCCAAACCCTAAAGCCTACAGCCTAAACCCGAAACCCGAAACCCTAAACCCTAAACCCTAAACTAGCTCTACTCTGACCACGGAAGTCGGAACCACAGCACGCCAACGTGCCGCGAGCTGAATCTCCTTGCTTTGGTTTGAAGGTTTTTTTCGGTGTTTAGGGGTTTCAGGTACTTCTAGCCCTACGCCCTAAACCCTATACCCCAAACCCCAAACCCCAAACCCCAAACCCTAAACCCTAAACCCCAAAACCTAAACCCCAAACCCCAAACCCCAAACCCCAAACCCTAAACCCTAAACCCTAAACCCTAAGCCCTCCAAGCGCAAGGAGGCGGGCAACCTGGTGGATGTTTGGGCTCTGCGGGTGCAGGAGCCGGAGCTGGATCCCAGCCTCTTCAACGCCCGCAAGCAGAGGAGGGCGTACTACTGGGTTTAGGGTTTAGGGTTTAGGGTTTAGGGTTTAGGGTTTAGGGTTTAGGGTTTAGGGTTTAGGGTTTAGGGTTTAGGGTTTAGGGAGGGCGTACTATAGCGGTCGGAATAATTACTAATGGTATTCCCTTAAGGGCCCCTCTGTAATTATACTAGAATAGCCCCAAAACCCCATTCTATTCACTCAGGCCCCTATCTTAGGGTGTCTAGATTTATAGGGTTCAGAGGACAAGGCTTATAGGGTTGATTATAGGACAGGGTTTTAAGGGTTTATAGGGTTTGTAGGGTTGTAGGGTTTTTAGTTTAGGGCTTCCAGGGTTTCATTGGCTTCGGGGTGCTTGAATTCTTGGGAGTTTTTCGGGTTGATAGGGCTCGTCGGAAAGGTTTAGAGATTGCTGGGTTCATTCCAGGGTTGACCTGGACTCTCAAAGTACGCGTAATGATGGCCTTAAACCCCAATAGGTATGAAGTGATATATCGGTGACTTGAGGGTTTTATGGTTATAAACTGTAAGTTTTTTCACTTCTGGGGTGAGAGGTCTTGGGTTCACTGGGTCTGAATGCTTATAGACTTTATAAGGTTTATAGGTTGGTGAGGGTTGGTCAGGGTTGCCTCGTGTGCCGTCAAGCTTCCCAAATCCTTAACCTTCAATTCCACTCGAAACTGAATCCTCACCCCTGAGCTCCCGTAACCCCCGGAAACCTTGACTCTAATTCCCCCTAAACCCCAACCAGAAACCTAGACTCTAAACCCTAAACCCTAAACCCTAAATCCTGATCCACAGGACTGGGGAAGAGCTTGATGCCCGGGGGCCTCGCTGGGCCTCCCCGGAGCAGGTGGATGTTTATGAAACCTTATAAACCCCAAACCCTAAACTCTATAGACCCTATACCCTAAACCCTAAACCCTAAACCCTACTTTCGGAAACCATCAGGTGGAGAGGGCGCGATTCATCCTCCAGCTTCGGAGCCAACGCCACGTGCCGGGTTCCTTGGCCACATGACCCCTAAAAGGGCTTGGGGTTCATGTTTCCTTAGTAGGAGTTTCAGTAGCGTAGGGTATATGGTTCAATGACCTTAACAGGAATTCTAGTGGCATAGGGTATGTGGTTCACATAGCCGTAATAGGAGTTATAGTAGCAATAATAATAATAGTAATAATAACAATAATAAAACTATGAACCCCCCCCCCCCCATTTTCGGGGGTTCATTTGGTCCCCAAGGTTCTGCCACGCAGGGCGATCCTGAGCTGGCGTCCTTCTTCGCATCTGCCGGTGGAGAAGACGTGGCTCGCGGCAGCCAGAGGGCCCAGCACGAGAAGCTCCACAAGCTTCAGATGCTCTGCTCCTCCGGCGGGTCTGAAGAGGAGGAGGATCCCGAAACGCAGGCGCTCCTCGCTTTCCTGAGCAGCTAGGTTGCCGACGACTACGTGCGAAGAGGTCGCCCGATGTCTCTGCCTCAGCATCTGTTTGTGCTGCAGAGCATCCAAGGACCGCCGCGTGCAAAAAAAAAGACCGAGCGTTTTTTGGGCAGGTGCTTTGTTCAAGGGTTCATCCTCTAACATGGGGAGACCTCGAAAAAGTCACATTTTTCTCCTGCGGGTTCTCCCCAAGCTTGTGCCACGAACATGCAGTTGCCCAACTTCCCCCGCCTCTTGTCGCGCACTTTTGTGGGCTTGTTTGCTTAAATAGTGAACCTTCGCCCCCGTATCCTCCACTCCAAAACAAGATCAAGATCACCCTAAACCCTAAACCCTAAACCCTAAACCCTAACCCCTAAACCCTAAACCCTAAACCCTAAACCATGTCAAGGGCTGAGAGCTGCTGGACAACATCCCTTTGCTTGTGGGTGGTTCAGGGGTTTAAGGCTTACAGGGTGTTATAGGGTGTTATAGGGTGTTATAGGATGTATCTAGGCATTGCAGAGGGTGCGCTATCGCCATGTAAGACAAAACTGAAACATTGGAAGCCAGGGTAGGTATCTTTGTGGGTTCCACGAAGACCCAAACCCTCGTCTACAAGGACCGTCGCTGGCCTCACGACGATCTGAATCCCGCCCTAAACCCTAAACCCTAAACCCTAAACCCTAAGCCCTAAACCCTGAACCCTGCAGCCCTACAAGAAATGCACAAGCTCTCGAGCCCCGAACCCTCTCCGGCAAGCCTACCTGTACATACCGCAAGCGCCTAAACTATCCGACCCTGTGAAGACGCATCTTTAGCCCCACACCCTAAACCAGAACCCCTGAACCCCATTGAAAACCCAGATACGAATTTGTCAAACTCCTAAACCCTAAACCCTAAACCCTAAACCCTAAACCCTAAATCCTAAACCCTAAACCCTAAACCCTAACCCTAAACCCTAAACCCTAAACCCCAAACAAACCCAACGTTCCTCTGACCAGGCCATGCCCAGCCTGAGTGGCGCCAGCTCCTCGGCAGCCTCGCCCTGGCCGGTGGGGAAAGCCGCCGCGGGCAGGCCCCCAGGTTTAGGGTTTAGGGTTTAGGGTTACAGGAATCATGTGGTATTTTTGCCCATATACAGTTCAAGGGAATAGTAACAGTATGTGTGTATTAAGGAATTTCTGAGGAGAGGACCCAAGAATTCCTGTTTGGGGAAATCGGAGGAGTATAGCCGGATTGGGGTATTGTAGGGTTTGTAGGGGTGTGTAGGGTTTCGGGTCTAGAGGGTTTAGAGGGTCTAGAGGTTTCAGAGGGTTTAGAGGGTTTAGAGATTGTTTAGAGGGTTTGGAGAGGGTTTAGAGAGGGTTTGGAGGTTTAGAGAGGGTTTAGAGGGCTTGGAGGATTTGGGATAACGTGGTGGGTGCAAGCGGTTTAGCGGGCGTAGGGGGTTCCTGTTATCGACACAGGTTTTAGACATGTCGTGTCTTTACGTTGAAGCAGACGACATCGTGCAGCAGATGGTTCGGTGGTGTACTGTATGTGTATATATATAGCTATATATATATATATGTATATATATATATGTACATATATATGTATATGTATATATATATATACTCCTTGTATGTTTGTATGTCTATGTGCACAAAACTGTCTCAAGCGCCGTCGTGCCATGTCAGGTGCAAAGCTCCTCCAGCCATCTGCTCATCCTCAGCCTTGGGCCCTGGCCCGGAGATGTCTCCCTTCCACTACGCCACGGTTTGGGGTTTAGGGTTTAGGGTTTAGGGTTTAGGGTTTGGGGTTTAGGGTTTAGGGTTCAGGGTTTAGGGTTCAGGGTGAGGCCCAAACCGCGAGGCCCTAGGCGCCCAGGTACCCTTCAAGAATTATCCCGATGAGGTACCCCGAGGGTTGCAGTAGGGGCCGACTCATAACCTAAGCCCCCACACCCCGAATATCCTGAACGTTTTCAACCCCAAGACCCTCGACCCCGAAACGCTAGAACCCCGAAGCCAACTAAACCCCCTAAGCCCCAAACCCCCTGAGCCCCCAAAACACCCGCTCTAAAGCCCCCCCAAGCCCATCTCCAATCCCCAAACCCCAAACCCTCATCCCTATTCCTAAGCCCCCAAAATGGCCCAAACCTAAAACCCTAAACCCGAAACCCTAAACCCGAAACCCTAAACCCTAAACCCTAAACCCTAAACCCTATTCCTAAACCCCCTAAACCCCAAAACGGCCAAGCTGTTGTTTGCCAAGGCTAGCAGCTCAGAGGTGCGAAGACCACCGATGCCCAGCCGAGCACGGTTAGGGGTTAGGGGTTCAGGGTTCAGGGTTTAGGGTTTGGGGTTTAGGGTTCAGGGTTTAGGGTATAGGATTTAGGGTTCAGGGTTCAGGGTGTAGGACCGATTCCCGGCCGAGCACGGTTAGGGATGTAGGGTTCAGGGTTTAGGGGCCAGGGTTAGGGTTTAGGATTTAGGGGTTTTTGCTTCGGGATGCAGGGTTCGGGGCTTTGTGCCTAGGTATCCAGGGTTGGGGGTGTTTAGGGTTTAGGGTTTATTGGTTGTCAGACCACAGAACGAAGTCCTGAACCCTAAACCCTAAACCCCAAACCCTAAACCCTAAACCCTAAACCCTAAACCCTAAACCCTAAACCCTAAACCCAACACCCTATAACTATAACCCTAAACCCCACATTGCACAACTGGACGGGCCAGGGATGCCGCCGGAAGCGAGGCCTCGGGGGGGCAGAGATGGCAGACAGTTGTTGCACGCGACCTGCCACCGGTAACTTGAAGGGCTAAGGGCTGAGGGTTTAGGGTTTAGGGTTGGGGGTTGAGGGTTTGGGGTGCAGGGTTTAGGGTTTAGGGTTTTCAGGGCTTAGAGTTATGAAGTCATTATGCTGACGAGGGTGGTTCTGATGCTGCTGATGATGGCGATGATCATGACGATGATGCCGATGATGGTGCTGGAGCTGGTGCTTGTGGGAGTGGCCGTGGTGGTGGCGCCTGAGGGCGCTGCTGTCGATGCTGATCGCTAGACTAGGGTCATGATGAGGATGGCTGCAATGGTAAATAGTTCATATCACTGGTGACAAGCAGAAAAGCTGGCCAATCCCATTCCAGCGAGCATTCTACTTCTCCACCTTGCAGGGTTATTATGTCACGACGGAAGAGCATACGATTGCTCAACAAGGCTCAACACATCATGTAGATGGGTACTGGGTAAGCACACCGTTCTACAAAACCATACGGAGGAAAGCTCCCCCCCGGCAGCCTCCGCCCAAGGCCCCTGTGATTGCTGCAACCGCGGCAGAGGTCTGGCCTGCTTGAGATTTGGGAAATGCCGGTTCTCCAAAATAGGGTTTAGGGTGTAGGGTTTAGGGTTTAAGGGTGCCGTTATTTGGCTTGGTAGCCCAGTGGTACCCGTTTCCCTTGTGTTTGGTCCGAGGTTCCCTTATAAAGTAACCAACCCCAAAAAGGGTAGCCCCCTAAACCCTAAACCCTAAACCCTAAACCCTAAACCCTAAACCCTAAACCCTAAACCCTAAACCCCCATTATGACACTATGGTTACCAGGCTGCCAAGTTTGGGTTCCTCCTAAAACAAGGTTTTTCATATTTCGATATTGAGTTTAGTGGGATCCATATTCTTGGAATTTCCCGGAATCAGGGTTCAGGGTTTAGGGTTTAGGGTTTAGGGTTTAGGGTTTAGGGTTTCAGGACCCCATACGCGCGAAGTCCCAGTAGGTCGTAAACACCCTGCTTGCACTCCCAGCTTTTGTTCGTGTAGGGTTTAGGGTTTAGGGTTTAGGGTTTAGGGTTTAGGGTTTAGGGTTTAGGGTTTAGGGTTTAGGGTTTAGGGTTTAGGGTTTACGGTTTAGGGTTTAGGGTTTAGGGTTCAGGCTTCAATATTCAGAGTTTGGTCTAGGGTTTAGATTTTATTGCTAGCTCGATTATCTAAGTCGAGCTGCACGGTGCCGGAGAGAAGGAAGTGCGGGACCCGAAGCCCTCAACACTAAGCTACTCTGAGCGCCACGCGCAACCTGGTGATGTGGAGAAGATGCAGAGTTGGCGCGGGGGGGGGGGGTAGAGTTTACCTAAGAGGCCTGTAGAGTTTACAGCGGAGGTCGGGGGGCGGTTTAGGGTTTAGGGTTTAGGGTTTAGGGTTTAGGGTTTAGGGTTTAGGTTTATTTTTTGCGCGTTTAGGGAGTAGAGGTCCAGGGTGTCTGCGTTTGTAGGATGCCCATTTTGCCATAGGACCAAGGACCCAAGCCCTGGCTACGAACTGCCCCCTGTTAGGGTTTGGGGTTTGGGGTTTAGGGTTTAGGGTTTAGGGTTTAGGGTTTAGGGTTTAGGGTTTAGTTTAGGGTTTAGGATTGCTTCCTAACAATCATCCCAGCAGTTCTCCCACGCCAAACAGACACGAAAGGCCCCCTGGCCACGGGACGCACGTAGCGCCTGCGTTTATCGTATACGGCCTAAAACCGGACCCCAGATTCTAAAATAGCCGGGTTTAGGGTTTAGGGTTTGGGGTTTGGGGCTTAGGGTTCAAGGTGACCCGTGTACTTTAGACTTAACGTTGCCAGGCGCCGACTGGCGTGCCCACGTCCAGCGTGAAGGCAGTTCAGTTAAAGCCTATATACCCTAAACTGCCAACCCCTACAGCTTGCTGAGTGTTTGGTATTTAGGCTTTTGTCTGTCCTCCTAAATCCAATTTCTGTCTTTGTAGACATCATTTTGGTGGGCTAGGGTTTCCTTCGGTTTAGGGTTTAGGGTTTCCTCCTGAAACCTGTCAATCTGATTTATTTGCAGCTCAGGGTTTAGGGTTTAGGGTTTAGGGTTTAGGGTTTAGGGTTTAGGGTTTAGGGTTTAGGGTTTAGGGTTTAGGGTTTAGGGTTTAGGGTTTAGGGTTTAGGGTTTAGGGTTTAGGCAGGCTTCAGGGTCAGGGTTCAGGGTTTAGAGTCGAGCAAGTGCGTGTTCAGGGTTAGCTTTGCTTCTTGTGGCCATGATACAA